TGATGCTGATGTTGGTGATGATGATGATGACGTCGATTGTGAAATCGATTGTGACATCGATAGTGAGATCGATAGTGATACCGAGTAAGAGATCGATTGTGACATCGGTATTGATATCGATTGTGAGATCGATCGTCAGATCGATTGTGAGATCGATCGAATGAGATCGATAGTGGGATCCGGTGTCCCGCTGGTGTCCTGGCGGTGTCCCGATGGCGACGGTGATGATGATGATGACGACGATGATGATGATGATTATGATGATGGTGATGATGGTGAGGATGGTGATGATGGTGGTGACGATGATCATGATGGTGATGGTGGTGATGATGGTGGTGATGGTGGTGATGATGGTGATGCTGATGGTGATGATGGTGATGATGATGATGGTGGTGATGATGATGGCGTTGATGATGATGATGATGTTGATGTTGATGTTGGTGCCGGTGATGATGATGACGACGTCGATTGCGATATCGATTGTGAGATCGATAGTGAGACCAAATGAATGATCGATAGTGGGATCGATTGCGAGATCGACCGTCGGATCGATTGCGAGATCGATCGCATGATATCGACAGTGAGACCGAATGTGAGATCGATTGTGAGATCGATTGTGTTACCGATAATGATTTCCATAGTGCGACCGAATGTGAGATCGATTGTGAGATCGATCGAATGAGATCAATAATGAGATCGATCGAATGATATCGATAATGAGATCGATCGTGAGATCGATAGTGATATCGATTGAGTGAGACGCTGGGTCCGCCCCCCCGTCAAGTAACTCTCTTACCATTCAGGGATTTCGGCTCAAGGCTTCCGTTGCACTCGTCGCGCGGGGGGGCCGCGAACGCGCCCACTTCCGTCGCGAACTTCCTTCGGCTTCGCTACGGGGGGCCAGGCTTTGCCAGCCGAAATGCTCGACAATAATGTGTAGACGTTTCAGAACGTGAACACCCAGACGGCCAAGTACGCCAGAGGGCACGCGAGGGTCTTCGACCCGAGGGTCATTGATTACACGTCCACAGCGAGGCACGAGAGAGCGGAGGCGCAGAAGTTCAGTTGCGTTTTGGTGTCCACCGCGGACGAGTTGGTCGCGATGTCGGCCGCCTTGGAGTTCGGCATCCGCATCAATGTCATCCCTTCTCACTCCACCAACAGCACTGGCGCAGTGGGCGACCCCCCCTTATGGGCCAGACAGCGCCACCGCCGTTGTTCACCTGGACAACCACGATTTGCATTATGTCTATCTGTCGCGGGAATCGCGACGGCGCCGGACGCCCGCGCCAGACATTGCCAGCGCGTCGCAGCTCCGCCTCGCCTCGCTGCGCGCGGCGCGCGCGGGCGCCGCCCGGCATTCGGCGCAACGCGGGAGAGAGCAAAGCCATTGTGCCGGGCAAGAAGTGAGCGCCGGGGGCACGGGCTGCGCCAGGCTCTGCGAGCGCTTCCGCACTCCCTGACCTGATGGGGCGCACTTTCGCCGGCCAGCGGCGCCTTCGGACGTCGGCGCGAGCTCGAAAAAACAAAGAAGATTAAGTTACGATGGCGGCTCGTCGCCAGAAGAACAATCGCCGCCGTCGCCCACTGCTGGGCCGCCCCCCCCCCCCCCCAACCTTCCAATCGCCCGCGGGCCGGTCGCATAGGCGCGCGCGTGTATATATATATATATATATATATATATATATATATATATACATACATACATACATACATACATATATATACATATATCGGAGGTCAGGAGGAGAGTCCGACGCGAAAAGGAGACCCCCCCTACCGGGAAAATCGCTTTCGGTTTCGGGTTCGCGTCGCGCGCGCCGAGCGCGCGATCGAGGCGAAACTGCGCCGGCGGGCGAGAGGAAATCCACCTATGGCTGGGCCGCGGCCGGACCAAATGCAACTCCACCGGCGGCCGGTGCCGCGCGGTGCCCCGCCGGCGCCCCGCGGGTGCCCCGAAATCCCCCTGCGGCTGGGCCGCGGCCGGGCCAAATGTTGCCTCTCCGGCGCGCGGTGCCGCGCGGCGCCCCGCCGGCGCCCCGCTGGTGTCCCGCGGTGTCCCGCGGTGTCCCGTTGAGCGAGATCGATAGTGGTATCGATATCGAGATCGATACTGAGATCGACGCGGTGTCCCGAGGTGTCCCGCGGTGCCCCAAAGTGGTGAGATCGATAGTGAGATCGACAGGTGCCCCGCGGTGTCCCGTGGTGTCTCGTTGAGCGAGATCGATAGTGAGATCGATACTGAGAACAACGCGGCGCCCGTGGTGTCCCAAAATGTGATATCGATACTGAAATCGACAGGTGTTCCGCGGTGTCCCGCGTTGTTCCGTTGAGTGATATCGATAGAGAGATCGATGCGGTGTCCCGAGATGTCCCGTGGTGTTATATGGTGTCCCGTCGGGTGAGATCGATAGCGAGATCACCACCATGAACGCGCTCAACATCATCATCATCATCATCAGAATCATCGGGACACCATCATCATCATCATCACCATCATCATCATCATATCATCACCATCATCAGTTGCAACATCATCATCATCATCACCATCACCGTTATCATCGGGGCACCATCATCGTCACCATCATCACCACCAACTGCATCACCATCGGGACACCAGCATCATCATCACCCGAACACCACGACCAGCATCATATCATCATCATGATCGTGAACAACTTCAACATCATTACCGGGACACCATCATCATCACCAGCATTCGCAACATCATCGTCACCAACATCATCATGACCATCGCAACACCATCCTCATCGTCACCATCAGCATCACTATTATCATCATCGGGACACCATCATCGACATCAACATTAGCAGCAACATCACCATCATCGGGCCACAATCACCAAATTCATCATAACCACGTCATCATCATCAGCAACAACAGCATCATCATCGGGACACTAGCATCGTCATCATCATGATCATCATCATGTTCGGGACACCATCATCTTCACCATCATCATCAACAGCAGCATCGCCAACCTCATCATCAGCATCACCACCATTATCGGGGCACCATGATCATCATCTGCATCACCGTCGAGTCATATGATCATCATCAACATCATCAGGATCATCAACACCAGCATCGGCATCATCGGGGCACCATCATCATTATCATCAGCAACATCATCCTCATCAACATAGTCATCATCGGGGCACCATCATGATCATCACCATCAGCATCATCATCAACATCGTGAACATCATCCTCATCATCATCGGGACACCATCATCAGCACCACCATCACCATCATCATCCAGACCATCATCGTCAACATCATCATCATCATCACCATCATCATCATCGGGACACCGACGGGACACCGGCGGGACACCCTCCCTGCCCGCCCGGCCAGGATTCGATTCCCGATATTGTTCGCCGTGCTGGGTATTGGTGGGTGGTTCTGTCTCTTGGAAAACAACCCCGCGTGGGCTACCCTACACGGAGGAGGTTTTCGGAGCCTGTTCGTGCAAGGCACGTAGTACAAGATCGCTCCGTCCCGAATCGCTGTTCAGCGTCAGTCAGTCCAAATCAATCCAGTCAGTCCCCATCAGTCCCCATCATCCCAAGCAGTCCCCATCATTCCCATCAGTCCAATCAGTGCCAATCAACTCGATCAGTCCCCATCAGTCCAATCTGACCCATCAGTCCAATGAGTCCCTCCCTGCCCGCTCGGCCAGGATTCGATTCCCGTTATTGGTCGCCGTGCTGGGTATTGGTGAGTGGTTCTTTCTCTTGGAGAACAACCCCGCGTGGGCTACCCTACACGGGGGAGGTTTTCGGAGCCTGTTCTTGCAAGGCGCGTAGTACAAGATCGCTCCGTCTCAGGTCGCTGCTCATGTTCAGTCAGTCCACATCGACCCAATCAGTCCCCATCAGTCCCCATCACCCCAATCAGTCCCCATCTTCCCAATCAGTCCAATTAGCGCCAATCAACCGAAACAGTCCCCATCAGTCCAATCCGACCCATCAGTCCAATCAGTCCCTCCCTGCCCGCTCGGCCAGGATTCGAATCCCGATATTGTTCGCCGTGCTGGGTATTGGTGGGTGGTTTTTTCTCTTGGAGAAACAACCCCGCGTGGGCTACCCTACACGGGGGAGGTTTTCGGAGCCTGTTCGTGCAAGGCACGTAGTACAAGGTTGTCCTTAGGTTTTCCTTCGGTTTTTCTTAGGTTGTTTTTCGGTTTTCTAGGTTGTCCTTACGTTCTCCTTAGGCAGTCGCGAGTTTTCTTTAGGATGGATAAATCGAGGATGAAGTTTCTCACGGTCCTCGTGGGTTCCCTCCCTCCCCGTGGGGCCCGAGTTCCACACGGAAAATAATTGGTTCCATTATTGCTGGGGTCCCAGTCCGTCAATAAGCCCGCGGGACAACCATATATTTGCGCACTATTGGGGGGGGTCAAAAGACCCTGAGGGGTTAAGGAGGATCACGAGCAAGAGCAGGCGCAGGAGAACGAGGATGAGCAAGAGGAGCAAGAGAAGGGAGTGGGGGAGGAGCAGCAGGAAGAGGTGCAGCAGCAGCAGCAGCAGCAGGGGCAGGAGGTGGATGAGGTGGCGGGGGAAGATGAGGGAACGAGGAGGAGGGAGGAAGGGTTCCCCTGGATGTCCTCGTGCCCCTCGTGCCCACCGTGCCTCCTGCCGCGCCTGGCATGGCCCATCTTGAACCGATCGATCCGATTCGATGCCGATCTGGGCCAGTCCGATTCGATCCGATTCGAATACTCCGACGATCCGATGCGGCCCGACGCTTGCATGGCGTCGCGGTGCATCCTGGCGCGGCTGGTCTGGTTTTTGACGTCGGCTCTGACCCAATGCCCCGGCGGAGAGGCGAGCGGAAAGTGGGAGGGGGTGGCTCTTTTCCTCCTCCTCCTCCTCCTCCTCCTCCTCCTCCTCCTCCTCCCCCTCCTCCTCCTCCGGTGCTGACTGACGCTGCCCCGGCGGCGAGGCGAGCGGAAGGCCCCGCGCCCCGCCAGGGCCGCGTCGCCGCCGCGCTGGAGAGCCTGGCCTCTGCGGGGCGCGTGGAGGACCCTCGGCCGCGCGCGCACGCCGAGGGCCCTCGAGGGCCTCGGAGGGGAGGAGGAGGAGGAGGAGGAGGAGGAGGGAGAGGAGGAGGAGGAGGAGGAGGAGGAGGAGGAGGAGGAGGAGGAGGAGGAGGAGGAGGAGGAGGAGGAGGAGGAGGAGGGGGAGGGGGAGGGGGAGGGTGAGGGGGGGGGAGGGGGAGGGGGAGGGGGAGGGGGAGGGGGAGGAAGGAGAGGAGGAGGAGGAGGAGGAGGAGGAGAGGAGGAGGAGGAGGAGGAGGAGGAGGAGGAGGAGGAGGAGAACGACGACGAAGAGGCCCTTTTGCCTCCCCCGCGGAGTCTCCTGAGGCCCTGAGGCCCAGATCTCCGACGGTGTGATCTTTTCAAGCGGTCTTGGCATCGTTCGGGCGTATGTGTGTGTGTGTGTGTGTGTGTGTGTGTGTGTGTGTGTGTGTGTGTGTGTGTGTGTGTGTGTGTTTTCTCTCGGCGCGGCTGGCTCCTCGAGGAGGATCCTGAATCATCTGGCATCATGATATTCCAACCTACTTTAGCCTTGACCACCAGGAAGAATTTCGAGCGCCCAACAAAGTACCTAAACGTAAGGGTTTTCACGTGTCGGGCCTTGGGGGACATTCGCCCGACACTGTTTCGACACTCTTTTGACACTTTTCCGGGTGCTCGAAATTATTTCTGGGATACGGTCTTTAAGTACGACGGGGGCAACATAAATCTAGCAAAGAAAAGCACGCACGAAGCGGAAAAGTGCGCGAGGAATGGACGCCCAAGCGATGGCGAGCGGTGGCTTCCTTCGGTGTCGGCTCCCCGGGGCTCGCTTTCGGGGCCCAGGGCCGTCAAAAACAGATCTGGAACGTCCAGCTGCCCCTGGGGAAGGGGTCCACCCTTTGGGGGCCGCGGATTGCACAAATCACTTCGGCGGAGGCCAGGCACGGCCCTCCTCCATCACCCCCTCCTCCTCTGCGCTGGCCGGCATTTCTCGGCTTCCCAGGTTCCCTGGGTTCCTTTGGTTGCTCTCCTTGCTGTTCCCAACCGTCCTGTAGTGCCAGGTCTTCGTTTTGGGCGCCCCGAGTCTCCTGTCCTACACGCTTCGTGGCTCCATAAGGAGCTCCACCGAAGACCCCAGTGGCAGGGTCTGCACGCGGCTCCGCGCCATTTTCGGCACACCGCTCACACGCTCCATGGCCCCATAGGGAGCTACCCCTCATTTGTCCCACGCGCCTTCTTCGCAATTGCATATGGTTGGGTCCTTCGCCAGAATATCCAGCTGCCTGCGGCAAGTACCGCCGCCATGCCAGCCCAGCATTCTCGGCTGCTCTCCTTCGAGAGGACACCGGAGGAGCGTAGTGGATGTTCGTTGGGATTTCGTGGGAGGCCTCTCGGGGGCCTCTCAGATGCAGTTTTGAAGCCTCTTGGGGGCCGTTCGAGAGCCTCTTGGGGGCCTCTTGAGGGCCTCCTGGAGGCCTCTTGGGGCCTTGAGGGGGTCTCTTGGGGGCTTCTTGGGGCCTCGTTGGCGCCTCTTGGGGCTATCGAGGGGCCCCTTGGGGCGGAAGGATCGGATTTTTGGTTCGTGTTTCCTCTCTGGGGCTCCTTTTGGGGCCGTCTTGGGTGCATCTTGGCCTTCGTGGGGGGCGCTCTTAGGCCGTCTTGGGGCCCTCTTGGAGGCCTCTTGGGTCGTTTTGGGGTGGTCTTGGGAGCCTCTTTGGATTTCTTGGAGCGTCGGAAAGCCGAAAAGGCGAGAACTCAAAAGTCTTCAAACACGCAAGGAAAGTCAATGATTATTGCCTTTGGGGAGGTCACTTGCGCCATCTTGAGGCCGTATTGAACGTCTTCGAGCGATCGTTCGGCGATTCGGGGCTTTCTTGGACCGTCTTGGAGGCCTCCTGGGCCGGCATGGAAGCCTTTGAGAGCCCCAGGGAGGCGCCATGGCCGCCCAGGGAGTCCCCGGGAGCATGGGCGATGGCTCGCAACACTACGCGGCCCGTAGGGAGTGGGGTCCCTTGGAAGATTGCAAGAACCCTACCAGACAGCACTTGGCATTCTAGCACGCCTCAACGTGCCAGGGGGCACGGTGGCGATTTTCGTTTGAGAAAGTTCGGCAGTCGTCGGGTTATCCGAGTTCCCCAAGTAGCAACGCAAAGAAATACCAAGCAACGCCTAGCAATACCAAGCAACGCAAGGAAATACCAAGCGATGTTAAGCAACGTGAAGTGATGCCAAGCAATGCCAACGAATGCCGCTCAAAGCCAAGCAATGCAAAACAATGCAATGCCAGGAAATGCCAGGCAATACCATGCAATGCCAAGCAACGCCGCTTAGGGGAGCGTTTCCGTATTCGGGATCGCGTCGGGTTCTTTCAACAGGCGTTGGTGTGTATGGATTAGCGCCGATCCAGGGGCTCCTTGAGAAACCAAATTGAGGGACGGAGCAAAACGGGTTCAATTACGCGGACATTCGCGCGTAAGTTGCCCGCTTGCCGTCCTGGCAGTCCGCGTAAGCCGCCGCGTAAGGTCGTTATGCCATCTCGCGTACGATCGGTTTCTTTTCGTGTCTCAGTTGGCGCTTGAGCTCCCTCAGGGCTTGGGCCAAAAGACTATGGAGGGAACACGAAAGACACAGTAGAATCGTCGCGCCCCGCCGCGCGGCGTACGCTCTTCGGGGGGAGGACGACTCGTGAGCCCCCACGCCGCCGTCGTGTCAGCTCGGCGGTCTTCTCTCCTCCGCCCCCCCCCCCCTCCGCATCGGACAGTTCTGCCCTGCGCTTCCTCCTCCTCCCTCCGAGCCTCATCCTCATCCTCCTCCTCCTCCCGTTCCCCGTTCCCTCTCGATGACGGAGGGTGCCGTGCATTGGTTCGGCCTCATCTCTGGCGGCGCCCACAGGGATGTGGCACGAGGGAGGCTGTTCTCCAAAGAACGTGGAGAAGTTGTTCAGAATGCGAAGAATGTTGACGGCCCTGGAGGCTTCTACGAAGACGTCTTAGAAGTTGGGCGGGCCTTTGGGAAAGCTGGCTCTTTTAGGAGTCCCTTTTTCCGCCCTCTTAGAAGCCCACCCCCATCGCACCACCCCTTTTTGGGTGCTGCCAACACGTCAACGCAAATGTTGTTGCCAATTCGTTGGCGTATGTTCTGGCCTCGTGAGGTCCGCTTTGGCCGTCGGAGCTGGCGTCGGTGGCATTGCGTCCCCCTCGCCGTGGTTTGTCCCATTACCTCTACGAGAGATCGGTCCTATGGCATGTGGATGTTTGTGCTTCTCGCCTTGTCCCGCTGCTCTGCCCCGTTCGTCACCAGAATCTGGCGCGTGCGCTCATGTGCTCTCTGCCCCTCCTCCTGTGAGTCGTACGTGAATGATATTCGCACGCTCGGTAGTTTCGTTCGGGCGGGGCAGGGTAGCCAGGAACGGATGTGCCGCCCTGCCGCGCCCGCAGTAAGTTTTTTCGGCTCAAGGCCGCATGAGACCCGAGGTGGGTGTCGGATTCCTAGCCGTTGGGAATGTTCGGGAGCTAGCTGCTTCCCTGGCTGCTCGCACTCTCAAGGGGTGCCAAGAGTGCTACTGCGATTGCCCAGCGCCGCCAGGGTGTCCTGACTGCCCCGCCTGTGTGTGCCCAGGGGTTCCAGATCCAGCGCAGCCTGTGTGCGCGGTGCCCGTCGACTTCTTCAACAAGTCTTACGTCGTGTCTTACGTCGTTGTGTCCGCGGACGCCGCGAACTCCTACTGGCGGGTGGGTCTCAGCGGAGCCTTAGCAGGTGTCGTGTGCGGAGTACTGGCGGCTCGCAGTTGCTGTCCGAAACGGGCCGGAGGTCCTGGGATTAAAGGACGAGGTCGAGTCAATAAATGATGGTGGCTGTGAATGGAAAGATTTTTGGTGCGTACGCCTAGGTGCGGTACGAAGGTGATGATCCTGGTCATGAGCGCCTGCTACTTCGCGAGGTGCGGTCAGATAATGGCAAGCGAATGTGGGTGAGTGCTACGCCCGACTTTGATGTGTATGCCGAGGAGCACAACACTACGGGTGATCGTGGAACTACCAGGTTTGTTCTGCTGCGTGGACGCACGGTTGGTCGTGCTGTTCCTCGTCCGCTGCACAGGCTCAGCGAGACAGCGTCAGCGGAGAAAGCCAGGGGCTATATCGCCGAAGAGGGCTTTGTCGAGGTCTCGCATTCCAGGGTCTGCGGGGACGATTTTGCCATTCGCAGCGCGCGTGCACCACGCTCCACCAAGAGGAGGGGCTGCCCCGTCAGAGGGCACTGGCGAGGCCGCACACCCCTCGGGCACCGCCGCTGTCGCGCCTGCTGGCGTCGATATGGCTCGGGCGGGGTGGGGGCTCGCGTTCGAGGGGGGGCGAGAGATGGCCCGCCCGGGCACTGAGGTCTCCGAGGCAGCCTTCGCCACGAGGCTCGGCAATCGAGGCCTGGCCAAGTTCGGCGACGCGGTCGCGGCGCTGGAGCAGATCACCAGCGATAGGTTCGACGTCTACGCGGAGGCGCGCCAGTCACTGTTGCACGCGGGCCCGGGCGATGCGCCGACGCCGCGCGACATGGGCGGGGGCCCGCAGCGCCGGGGGGGCACGCCGGCCTCGGGGAGAAGAAGCCCGAGGAGGGTGCGCGCACGCTGTCGGCGAGGCACAACGGGCAGGGCCACGGGGGGCGCGCCTGGGTCGAGTCAGTCAAAGAGCTGGTGGAGGATAGCTTCTGATTGGCCGTTGGATGGCCCGCGCGCCTTTCCCTGGTTGATGTCTTCCTTCGCGCAGCTGGCGACGGCGCATGCGACGCGGCTAAAAAAGATCCTGCAGACGGCGGCCTAGCTGGAGCGAGAACGACGGGCCCATCCATGAGACGCAGGCGACGGCTGAAGTCTTCGAGCTCGCAATCCAGTGCGACCAGATCAACGCTGCCTCCGTGGCGGCGTTCGAACGGCCAGGGCGGCGCTGGCAGTCTATCCTCGAGACGCATTGGAAGAACCCCACGAGTCCGAACTATGATATCGCGGAGAA